TGAGCCTTGATGTCAGCAGGAAAACTCAAATAGAAATCTGATACATTTTCTTTAATATCGCAACAGCTGAGCTTTAATTTCGTATCTTTGTGAAAATATAGTTGAATTACAGATTATCGCCCAACATTTACCTGTGAAATGTTTATAGGTTAGGTTCTTTTATTTGGTGTTTTTATTTTATATGTATAACTTTTAAAGTTCAGGTTCAAGTTTGTGGTTAAAGTCTAGAGTCAGTTTTTAGTTCCCTTAATATTTAAGTTATTGTTCAGTATAAAAAGCCAACAGTGACACTGCTCTGCTGCACAAAAACATTAAAAGTTCCTCAATTTATTTTTGGCCCGTGACCAAAACTGTCATTTTAAAACTGTCTGTGTGAAGCCGTCATGTGAATTTGAGCCTGTCGTTCTTTTATTTACTACACTTTTGACAGATTATAGTTTTAACTTTACTGATTTTGCATCTGAAAATGTCACTATTATTTATTATTTAGTGAGCAAATACCAAGCCGTAGTTGTTGTTTTTGGCAGGAAGTGAAGTTCCTGTATTTTGTTCATGTGTTTTGGGTTATTTACAGCAGACTAACACTTTACTAAACCACCAAACTGTCACATCATATTAATTAGATTGACACTTGATGTGCCGCAGACGGTTTAGAGTTTGGTTTGGCTGAAAAAATGTGAAGAAAACCGCCAAGCTGCCCTTTGAAAGATGCCTTGGCAGATATATTTGGAGGTTTAAGGGTTGGCTAAAAAAGGACCCTGAGGTGTAGAAATAAAGGGAAGTAAAACACATTAATCAAATTACAGTTTAGAATAAGACTTTGTAAACTTTGGAGGAAAGAAACATCTACGTATCTCGTTTCATTCTCACCGAGGTGTGTGTGTCTGTTTAGGTGTGTGTGTGTGTGTGTTTAGTGTGAAGGCAGTTCATTAATGGGCGTCGCACGGTTTTAATTTGCAGGTTTTATGAGCTGATAAACACACAGACACACTATATTTACTCTGCTACCCTCACTTTAAATATTTAATGAAGTAACATGAGCACATATAACAAACAGGATTAGAGATTAATGACTCCGATCAAATTACTTTTCATCTCTTCTCTCTCTTTTTATGTCTTTCTTTCTCTTCTTTTTTCTCCACATAAGCAGTTTTATCCTCCTATTTAATGTTATTTATCATAAATTTAGTGATTAAGAGTATCAGCTGTTTTGGTCCAACATTACCACCTGCAGGCCCACTGGTGGTATTACAGCAAGACAGGTTTTCACACTGTTCAGTTTTCTTGCCGTCAGCGTTTGAGAAGATGAAAATTAAACTGATTAAAGTTTGATTTTATGATGTTCGGTTTAACATTTATTTAATTAAGTGATATAGGAGCCAGAGAAATCGCTTATATTAGAAATAAATCAGTTTGAATAACCTTTCAGACACATTTGAACAACAATATACACCATACTCCAGATTAGCAAATAAATGGACCTTTTGGTGAGATTGTTGCTGCACATTTAGGTAAACAGATTTATTTGAACTATAAATTGTATATAAAGTCAAACTTATCTAAAGTGTTTATTGCTGTTTCACTCTGATGTATTGATTCCAGTGTAACAGCAGGTAAGGACGCTGATGATTGGGAATTAGCGGACGGGTTTTGAGAATAGTATAATTTATTCTCCTGCATAAATAAAAAAATACTCTTAATAAAAATTAAAACACTGCAAAGCAAGAATTGTGGCTCAGAAGTTCTCTCTGCATGTTCTCGTGAATGTTTGAGGGTTCAAACTGAACAACATGAGAACAGTTTCTGCATCTTTACTCCGGTTTCTATTGTGTTGTTGCTCATGATTCAATTACCAGAAGTCCTGAAACCAAAACAAAATCCCAGACACCTTGGCAAGACGTCAAGGCAGGCTGAAGTGAAACTGGCAGGACCACACACACACACACACACACACACACATACACTGAAGCCATCCGTCTGTTAATGAGAGTCTGGCAGCACCAACAGGATGCTCTCTGCTCTCCCCAAAACGAAGGTTTGGACAGAGTTGATCTCTGTTGGGTAACGGTTTACCCGAAGGTATTAGTCATCAAGATTGAGACTCTTCAAGAAGGCAGACAGAAGAAAAACAAACCTCGCTGCCGACAGCACTCACCGTTTACTCCCTAAGTGCCTAATTTCCATCAACCTGCTGTTGTTGCTACCAGCTGTGACTTATTGACCCAAGTATGTGCTACCATCAACATCTTCATTGCTTTTCTGGATCTGCAGCTTTCTTTATTACCATCAGCCTCAGAGACTTACATCCACCAGCACTCGTTGTCTCATCGCTGTCCACTTCTACAGTCTCTATAAGGTTCATAACCACCAGACCGTCTTAGTGCCTTCAGCTTCTGTTACTTGTAGCCATCAGTACAGGGCTGTTTCCAGACGGGTGGCACTGACCAGCTGATTGGTCACCTCATCCTTACCTCTGCCTCTGTTTTAAAGCTATCATATATCACATTAAAATAGAAGACCTAACGTATTCATTGGTACCAACCATGTTGTGCTAACGTGTTGGGAAGTTTTTTGGCGATGGAAAAACTGGCATGGCCGTTTTCATTGACCTCTGACCTCAAGATATCTAAATGAAAATGGGTTCTATGGGTACCCACAAGTCTCCTTCTTACAGACTGACCCACTTTATGCTAATCCCATGCAGTCGTTGGGCATAAACCATGCAGTTTTTTGCATGTGGTATAAATGTTTTTATAGTGTGTTTGAATACTTCTGCAGACTGGGGTCCATGTTTCCACATTAAAATCCTTAAAAAGTCATCTACTTCTACCTCACCAAAGGTCCCAGAATCTATGAATTTATTTTTAATTTTATATTTATTAAATTTATTTAATTTCTAAAGTTTTCCTGCTGGACACAAGATGTCTCCTACTCCAGTGCAGGAGACATCTTGTGTGGATGGTGGTGGATCGTTTTATAACAAGTGCAGTAAACAGGGTTGACCACTAGATGGAGCAGTACAAAATCATGATGATGAAGCATCTTCATCACACTGAAGCTCTGAATCCACACAAAAATAAAAAACTGCATTGTGTAAAAAAGTGTAAACTTTATTATTACAAACTGTTAGTATGTAAAATGACTCAAGAAGAGATTTTTATTAGTAAATTAATAAACAAAGGCTTAAAACAGATATGACAAGATAATAAAATCACTCTATTTCTAACAACAACAGTGTCCTTCTGTCTAAAAGCCCTTTTCACCTTCTATTTGATCCTTTCTTCCTATTTATTGAAAAACTTAGTTACTTGTTACAAAAATGCAGAAAAAACATCCCTGTGGGTTGAATTCAGGCTGGAAAATTACCACATAAACTCTCTTGGCCAAGTGTTTACACACAGACTATTCCTCCCAGCTGATTCATAACAGTGTGGTTTGTTAGTCAGAGTTACTCGCTGTTATGAGCTTATGAACCAGGGTGGAAAATCACAAACTGCCTGGAGTTAAGGTGATCCTAAATGTTTCCCGGTGTCTGGTCAGTTGGTCAATTGGACTTCCCAGACTCTGGTTGGACGTTTGTCTGCTGGAATAGTCACAGGAGGTGTAAAGCTTTTAACATATGATTCAGCAAATGTGACGCATGTGAACAGGTGATAACTGGATCTTCAAAGATTTCAGACTGAGAGCTGTGATTTCAGTTATTTTAAAGCTGCACTGGTTTTATTTTCATAAGCTGAGAAGCCTTTTGGGGGAGAATCAGTCAAAACGTTAAATTCTGCTCTCAGGATGTTTCTCTCTGGCAGGAGTCAAAGACCCACTGCTGCAACAGGACTTTTTCTACCAGTTGTAGGTATTTTAAAATATTTCCTCTGTGGCAGATAGATTCGGGTTTGTGTTAGCCAGCAGTGAACCTGCCTCCAGGTGAATAAGGAATAAACACTGTGCAAACCACGGCTTTCAGGGGAATGAGAGGGACATATTTTCTGATATTTTCTGATATTTTCTGATCTGAAGGTAATGATATCGGGCTGTCACACTTCAGAAGTGATTTAAGATCAGCGGTGTCTTTTTTAAAGTGAATTAGTGATTAGTCACACTCATCAGCACTAATCCTACATCATAGTGGATGTATAATCCCTGATGATGAAGATGCAGAAAAATATAAATGCGGGACAAAAAACAGCACATGGCAGTCCCTCCAGGAAGCTGCAAACACTTCCTCGTTTGTAGTGCTTAAGATGCAGATTGTGTGTCTCACACTGACCCTCCAAACAGTCGCCTTCAATTTAGCAATTCGATTGCAAAGAAAAAAAGCCTAAAAACATAAAAACATTAATCGAAATCAGGTCACAACAATCCCCAAAAAGCCCTCAAAATCCTGGAGGGGCTGATATTCTCAGTATTTCACAGCCCCTCCGAAGGGGAGTCCTGATTCCTCTGTAGTTCGCACCCTGAAGCTTCCCCTTCTGTCATCTGGATTTTGATAAAGTGGTGGATGTTTCTGCTCCGAGGCAAGAAAAATAATCAGCTGGTTTAAAATCAATAGCACTGTCCGATCAATAAAAATCAGGTGATGTGTGCCCACATTTCAATGAGGCAACTGCTAGTGATAGTTACATTAGTAATAGATCATGTAGAATATTAACATTAGAAATTGGTTAGTGAGAAAATCTTGCATGAGAGTGACGTTTTGTCACTGTCACTGAAATAAAATGGCTGACTTTATGGTTTTGATTTTAAGGCGTGTAAGAAAACGTGTTATTTTTAGAGTTTAGATTATTTAATATCTAAACTTTGAAGGCAACCTGTCTTGCATTACAACTATATGCAGTTCAAACTACAAAGAGCTAATAGAAAAGGCCAAACATCAGGGAGCAGAAAACATTGAATTTGCCAAAAAAGACGCATATTAAGTCTGTATGATTGTTGGATAGAAAGTTACTAAAAATATCATAAAAACTTGTTTTGCACAAACTTCCTGCAGTTATTGTGTTCACTGTTTGGGTTCGTTTTACAGTTTATCAGCTGCTCTCTACTGTTATTGTTACACATTGAATATAATATAAATATCCATAAAATATAGTCAGTTTACTCAGTGATAGAAAGGAAAAAGGCTGGGAACCACTGAGCTCATTGAGTTTCTCCAAACAAATCTAAATACAGACAGTTTCCTTTTCTATCTGCAGCACCAGGATAGTGTCCAGGGGTTTTACAAAGCCCGTAGGGTTGATTTCTCGTACTTTGAAAGCTAAATGTTGGCAGGTGTGGCCCAAACAGTTACGTCTTGATGCTATTTGGTGGCAGCGATGTGCAAAGTTGCTTCACGCAGCTTTATGTGACTTCCAATTTTAAAAAAGCTCTTTAGTCTTCAACATCACAACTGAAGTCTGTATCACAGGTTTATTCCTCCTCTTTGGCCTTCAGAGGTTCCCTGCTTTGGAGGGCTGTATCAGAGCCCACAGACTCGTCGTCACCATCGATGTCGTCATCATCGTCCGTCTCATTGGTGACGTACGAGCCTTTATGTCTGGACAGACACCACAGCAACAGAGCTGTAGTACAGATCAGCAGCAGCAACAGTGCACCGACGACCCCTAGAAAGTGGAGTATGAATGTCGAGGAGGTCACTGAAAGATCTGACACATAATCACTGAGATTTACAATTCTCCATTTTGTCTGTGGAGTCTGGAATCTCCCTCGTTTCCAGTGTATACAACTAATTATATTTCTAAATTCTACTTGTGTCTGCCAGTAATCTCTTCTAATTAAACACTGAAAAAAGTCAAAATCACGATCTTTGAAAACCAGCCGGTCAAATAAGGCTCATAATCTGGGTTTAAATTCAGCTTCTGCTTTAAGAGAGGACAAATACACTGTAGAAGACTTAAAACTATCTAAAAATAAACCATTTCTACCAGTCTGTCTCGTAGCTGTTCGAATCATCAGACATAATCAGGTAAAACATTCACTTCCTCACCTCCAATTAAGGCTGCAAAATCTCCACCGCCTGTGATGATACCTGTAAAAACATTAATTAAATCAATTAAAAAAAACATAAATTCAGAGCTCTTCAGAAAGGGGTTGAAAAAAACAGCTAATATATAATATATATGTATATATAATTTGAATGTTTGGGAAGCGATAAAACAGAACACTATATGTTCATCACTTTTCTTTCTCCAGCCCAACCTGCCCAGTCCTTGAATGCCGCCCCATAAATGTGTCCACCCTGCTATGAGGTGATACAGTGTGTGGGATCTCACATTAATTGTACACATACATTAGCCCCATACAGGACTACCTTAATTTAGAGCCTCCTGCCATGTTGGTGAACTGATGATGAGTGTGTGTAGGAAATAACGAAGGGTGTCACCCGCGGTGACATCCTCTTCCAGTCTCTTCTTTTTTGTTCCATCACCTTCTCTCTTGCTGTTCCTCGGTCTGTTCTGTTGCTCCCTTTGTTCACTTTGTCTCACCCCATCTGCTCTTTCGTCGGTGTGTGTGTGCACACGTCAGCTTTTTATGGGGAAAAAAAGAAGCTGAATGCTTGTGAAGCATTAACCCTTTAAACGCCATCAAACACACAATGCACAGGCGATGGCCCTTTAAGACTAATGTACACACTACTCACTTCAAACCCACTCCTGCTCACGTGCCATTGGGTCATCTTCATCGTGTACTTCTCCATGAGCATTGTGGACAAAGAAATTGTTTCATTTGATCTGTTGGATGTTCGATCACTGTTTGATGTTGAAAAAGCAACAGACCGCTTGAGCGATCAGGCCCATGTCTAATGTCAGTGTTCAGTTTTAGCTTTAGGCCCAAAGATCAGATCTATCAGGTACGACTAATGAGAGCTCATGTGTCATGTCCTTGTGTCAAATACTGTGCATTCCCCATCATCATGATGTACAATTAGTTGATTGGGATACCTTAACGGAACAGTTTGATATTTTGGAAAATATGCTTATTTGCTTTCTTGCCACTTTTGATGTCTGGGAACCAAATATGAGGCTACAGCCAGCAACAGCTCTCTCAAAGCTTAAAGCCCCCTCCAGTCAGAAATCAGTGTCTCTTCCTGTCTCTACAGTGTGCTGTT